CCAGCTTTTCCTCCGTTCCTCAACGTGACTTCCGAGTGCAAGGTGCTCCCGATCTGACCTCAATCCAAACTGCTCAAGACCTGCTTCGTCTGGCCAGGACCCCAGGTCTGGCCTCTATTCAGGAACTCTCCTATCTGAGACGGTGGGTGAGCCAGGAATGACATCACAACTCACCCAGCCAACTCGAAGGCTTGGAAGGCTCCTGGTTCGGCGAGGTCTGTGCACTGTCCAGCCCGCCTTGTGCCTGGGAAGACTAGACTGGTCTCTGGCTGGTCTCTGGCCGTGAGCTGGGCATTACACTTCCCTGTCTCTTCTCTCACATGAGATGCCACAACTCCTTCTGACTATAGACAGAGCTGGGGATGGGTTATAGAGCTGGGGATGGGTTATGTATTTTAGAGATTGTCTATTAGCCTTCTCTCTGGCTTCTCCAGTATCTGCAAACACCCTTAAGCCTTTGTTTCCCTTCTCTCATGTCTATTTAATTTCACTTTGACTGAACTAGATTTCTGAATGCTAGGGCTTCTTTTTCTTTTACATATACACTCAGCCACCCCCACCAGGGCATGTGGTTTTCCTTGGACTTAATAAACAAGTGGCACATATTCACTTGGAAAGGAGCCTTCGTCCTTTTATTAAAAAAGGAAGTCCAGTTCCCAAATCCCTGCCATCCTGTGTCACTTACATTCTCATCTGACAAACATTTAATTGTGCCTCCATGTCTAAGACACCGTGCCAGAGGCTCTAAGTACAAGCAGACCTTGTTCTGTTCATTCTAAGACACGGATTATCGTTACATTTGAACACAAACTATGTTTTCTTTGTTAGTGGTACCAAACCAATAGTGCATCTCACAATTAATGGGCATCTTATATTAAGTAAAATACGGTACAAGATACAGACCCTGCTCTCAAGCAGCTTACAGATGTTGCAATTATTTTGCTGGCAGCCAGCTTTCCTCCTCTGTGGGAGGAAACTCGGGGCTTAGTTTGGAAAGGCTGGACCTACTCTTTGCAAGAGATCAAACAGCCCTTCAGCGTAAAACACTGTGTCTCCGAACAGCAGCACAGCCAAGACACCTTGGAAAAGGAGTGAGAACAGATTTGCGAAGGTGCAGGAATCTTCAAACATCCTTCTTGTAGGAAATACTCCCAAACACTTAACTGTGAGAGCTGATTTTTTGCTTTCCTATTTGACTCGTTTTTAGTGTTGCAAAAGTGTGTTTTTACTCTTTATGAGGAAACATATAAATGGGGGGGGGGGGAATCCTTCCAGAAAGCAAGGAAAATTTCTGGGAGCAAAGAAATCTTTTTCCACAGTGAGGAAATACCAGGCTAAAGAAGTTGTCAACTGAACTCTCGAGTTCAAGAAAACTGTGGAAGCCGGTAAAAGAAAGCTCTGAACTATCTCATCATCATGCACATTTCCAGCAGAAAAGCTTAAGGGTGTTTGCAGATACTGGAGAAGCTAGAGTGAGTGGCCAGAGGTGGGGTTCTAACCTGGCAGCAATTATAAATCAGACCCTCACATCCCCGGGACAAGCTGACCTGAAGACGGCCATGGGCACTGGGTTACTAACAGCAGGATCATTAGTGTGGCCACTTGCAATACTATATTGGCCTGCGTAAGAGGAGAGAGCAGCAGCCTGTTGTCACGTAGCAGGAAAACCAGAGAGGACAAAAAGCAGATCGGCACGTCCTAAATTGAGCACTGCACGCAGGCTGGCCACCAACTTGAATTCAGAAACTGCACCACCTAACTTCTGGCTACCCCATCTGGTGCTTGATCCAGGCTGATCCAACTGCATTCCTGAGCATCAGCACACAGGTGTTTCTACTGATGCTTTTCCCTGTTGGGGGAAAAAATGTGTTCTGAACCGAGGGGGTCCAGCGCAGGGGTGGAGAGACTGGTGGCCAAGCACACCAGGCAGAGTTAAGCGTGCACTGCCCGAGGAGGAGGGATGGTAGGCCATGCGGGAGTCCGAGGAGGAGTTGGCAGGAGGGCAAGTGTGCGTGCTGACCCAGAAGGAATGCACCCCTTGTTCCTGGAGCTCACAGAGAGCCTTCCAACAACCTGATGTCTTCCCATCCGGGATGTCAGGGCCACTTACTGCAAAGTTTGATCCCTGGAGTAGGGAGTAAAATGTTCTTTTTCTTTTCTGTTGTGTGTCATCTTACATTGCCGAATGTCTTTGTTTCCTAATTGAATCCCATCAGTGTAAGCTAACTGCCTCACTTACTTGAACTCAGCTCAGAACAAGTTCCCCACAAGGCTGCATTCTTCAGGGTGCTCAGCCCCTGCAGAGAGGAGGGGAGGAGCCCTACTTATTGTCTTAGAAGAACATTACAAATAAAAAACTAAAAGTCTCTCTGCATCCAAATCAAAGAGGCCTCGCATATACCACACCCACGCTGGAGAGATAAACGTCTCTAGGCAAAGTCCGGTGGCCGTTCGTCTTCTCTTAAAGAGGAAGGCAACATGACAGAGAGTCACAACATGACAGAGAGTCAAAGAACTCCAGTTGGGAAAGTCAGAGTCCTTATTTATGAAATAAGTGAACTTGATAAGATGACCTGTACGTTCTGGGAGGAAGTCAAAAGTTCTATGAACCCAAGAAGAAAATAATCTCGGAGCTAAAAGAACACAGTCCCGCCGAAACCGGTTTGGCTCAGTGGATAGAGCGTCGGCCTGTGGACTGAAAGGTCCCAGGTTCGGTTCCGGTCAAGGGCATGTGCCTGGGTTGCGGGCACATCCCCAGTGGGAGATGTGCAGGAGGCAGCTGATCGATGTTTCTCTCTCATTGATGTTTCTGACTCTCTGTCTCTCTCCCTTCCTCTCTGTAAAAAATCAATAAAATATATATTTAAAAATAAATAAATAAATTTAAAAAAAATAAAATAAAAGAACACAGTCCCAAACAGTCACTCAGATTCACCAAGACCTGATTGGTTATTAAAATAAGATAGAGCCCTCTCTCCTGGAAGCCGTGCGCAGGCGCTTGCTCACTCACCTGCTCACCTAGTAGGCACCTACTTTTTAAGGGAAAAGGTGTCCACCCCCAGGTGAGTTACCTGAGCACCAGACTCTTACCCTACACCAAAAGGTCAACCTTTCACATTCAAATTCTTTCCCAAGGCTTGACTCCTCAGCTCACCTCTAGGGAATGTCTCCAGGGTCACTAGTTGCCACAACGCCCCTAGTTACCAGAATTTTGGTAGGTAATTGGGGGAGATTAGAGGAGACCTGATGACAAGTCCAGGTTGGTATGTTCCAGACTACAATCGGGGCATAAGCATGGATTCTCTTCTCGCACTTCCTTGGCATTAATTAACTTTGGCCTTGAGTCCCCACAGCCCCTCTCTTCAGCTGGTGAGTTATAAAATGACTCCATAGTGTCTAGAAAATCATTGATTAGTGTTTGGTCAGGATTTTAAATTTCTTAAAGTTAAATTTCAATTTACCCTAGGTAAGTATTTTTTTATATGGCATCTAGCACAGGGCTTTGCACTCAAGAAACATTGAATGAATAGACATGTGAATCAATGAATAATCAGATGCACTGGATTTGAGCTCCATACCAGGAAGACACCCCCTGCTAGTCACCGCCACACTCAGTTCCAGGGTTTTTCCATCACTCTTCCCTCAGGAGCTGAGCCTGATAGAAGTCACATGAGCATTCACATCAGCTAATATATTACCTTTCAGAGTTTCATTCAATTCCCTGGATTTGATGAACTGCCAGGGGGCCAATTTCTGAAAGTAAGTGTGGTGATTTACAATAGCGGAAGAGGATCAATGAAATCTACAAGAGTGGCCCCTTAGTCATCCCTCCTAAGGATCCTTCAGGAACACAGCCATACGTGAGCAGATTCTTCCTGCCCCAGCCACGCAGCAAAAGGCTTCCCATCAGGATTTCTGAGAGATTTTATGTTCTTTTTCTCCATTTCTTAGGGGAAAAAAATCCCAATCCCATGTGTGGATGTTGCTTGTTGCTAAGGCAGTGAGGGGCTGCGTACCCACAGGCTTACTCACAGGAGACCCACCAGGTTGGCATTGAACACCTTCTGACGAAGCAAGAGTGTGACCATCAAGAAGCAAATGCCACTACGGTCAGATGGCGGGGTAATCAGAGCTCTCTATAACAATTTCATTTGAGTTCATTTAAGATGACAACAAGGAAAAGTATGTGACAAACACAAGCAGCAAAATGCAGAATAGACCAAATCTTTGAGGTCCTGCTGTCCTCCCCAAGGATGAAGGAGGCAGACGGAGACACCTAGTGTAGAAATGAAGCATGCAGCCTTGGCCAGTTTGGCTCAGTGGATAAAGCATTGGCCTATGGACTGAAGGATACCAAGTTCGATCCTGGTCAAGGGCACATGCCCAGGTTGCGGGCTCGATCCCCAGTGTGGGGCATACAGGAGGCAGCCAATCAATGATCCTCTCTCATCATTAATGTTTCTGTCTCTCTCTCCCTCTCCCTTCCTCTCTGAAATCAATAAAAATATTTTTTTTAAAAAAAAGAAAGAAATGAAGCACGCAAAACACATCCCTCCTCAAGAAGCTCTCCATGGCAAAGGGTCTCAATTCCCCAACGTGTCTTCAGTCACAATGGCAAATACCCTGAGAGCACATCTGTCATATGTACAATGTCCTTTAACTTGCGTGTGCACGCACATACGTGTGCAGCTCATTCAGACGTGGCACTTTGCCAGGACGAGGCCTTTTCGTGTACTTGGTGATGTGTGGTGGTGGTTCTGAAGGGGCACACTCACGTTACTTACTGTTCTGCTTTTCCTGGTAAGAATTCTGTACAAAATCCAGCCTCAGGGACACGGTGCAGGCATCATGAGAAACCCCCTGTTCGCGTCAGGCTGAACCTGTCCTTCAGCAAAGCAGGCCTGGCCCAGACCATAAAATAGAGGCAGGCACAAGGGAGTCAGCTGTTCAAATGGATGCAGTGAACATTTATTTCTCCCAGAGGAGAGACGCCACGGTGTCTGGAGCACAGGTCTTCCACCACATCCCCACCAGGGACCGTCCCTGAAAGGCCACCTGAGATCAGCTCCCCGGGACACATCAAGCCCTTCTCCTGGGCTCTAAGTGCTGATTCGAAATTCCCCTTTAACCCACAGTGATTTGGGGAAAAGGAAGCTAAATCCCAATCCTGTGGGGGTGTCAATTTTCTTTGCCTGGAAGGACCTGATAGGGGTCCCTTCTCTGAGTGCCCTAACAGTAGACTCACCTCCCTAGGAAGGCACCCAGCCTCCAGCCATTTTAGATCCTGGGTAGAGTGGTGCTGACACCTAGGGGTGGATGGAGAAAGAGCCGGTGCGGAGAGAAGACCAGCCCTAGCTGCCCACTGTGCCTCCTGGTAGTGTCCAAGGAGTGGTGTTTCCCCCTAGTTCCTGTCCACCTGTCCCCAAGTCTACCCCTCGCTCCTAGAGAAGGTCGCCAAAATCCTGTCCAGGGACCTCCCACACAGAAGGACAAAAGCAAAGTTTGACTTTAATAACAACCGCCCGGATCCCCACCCTGTCTAGTCTTCCATCTGCCTGAGAAAAGTAGCCACAAGGGAGGCTGGAAGTAGAGAACATAGCGCCCCAAAAAGACGCATCAACAGGCTCTGTTCAGCAGGGATATGGGCCAGGAGGAACCTGGGAATGCCAAACCTCCCCAAGGCAGCCAGGGATGCTTTCTTACCAAACTCGCTCGCACAGAGATGCTCAATTATCGCTTCAGATTTCAACTCGTTGTCACATGGAGGACACACAGTTGTGCCTAGGAAGGGAGAGGAGGAGAAAAAGGAGCTGTGAGTTATGGGGTTAATGGGTGCAGAGAGAAGCCTTCCCTGGGAAAGACATCAACCCACGACCAGAAAGAAAGTAGTTAAAGGTCTTCTGGAATTTCTGAAGGGCAACCTGAAAATCAAAAAGAAGACTCCTAAAGCCCACAACCTAAAGCTATAAGCAGACATACGGCTTCTTGAAAATTTCGGGGCTAGAGCTGTTGAATATGGCACACCTATTTAAAGCAACAATATCGGGCTGGGTGGAAGCAGTCCTGTAACCTGTGGCTTAATGGGGTATGGTGGGTCTCAGGGAAAAGTTGACTTATAAACCAAACACATCTATTCCAGTTGTTGGTTTCCTGTTCTTTTCCTCCCTCTCTTTTAAATATCCCCCATCCAATTCCCACCCCCTTCCCATTCCCAAACTCCCAACAAGACAGCAGGTCAATCTGACCGGCTCTTCAGGAGCCAATAAATAAAAACTCAGCCAACTCATGAACTCTAACCCCAGAACACCCCTCTCCAAAAGGGCAATTGCTAGCAAGAGCTGCCAAATGGGAGGAGAGAGCTGGATGGGAGAGACCCTCTGGAGGCATTTTCACAGCACTGTGAAGTGCTTTGAAGAGATGTGTGTATGGCTGACCTGAGGGCCACTGATAGGTGGCTAAGCTCCAGGGGAAGAGGCATCTGAGGCCAGGGCTAGAGGCCTCCTCTAAGATAAAATGCTGCTGGTGCTAGAGGGATCCTGAGGAGATAAACTGTCTCTGTGGAAGGGCAGGGAGAAAGTGGTACAGTGGAATCCCCAGAAGGGCGTAGTGGCTTATCATCACCATCACCATCCTCACCACCACCACTACCACCATCATCACTATCACCATCTCTCAAACCACCTGGAGTTTTATCCATGATCTAGGAAGAAAGCATTAGCATGTTCCAAGGGCACTCCATCCTTGGCACAGCATTAGAGGCCATGCCAGGCCGGAGCTAAGGAGCAAAGGAAAGTCACCCCAAGGAAGGATGTGTACTGAGTGACCTTTGCTCAAATATAAGGCTCTTCATCCTGCTCCCTCCCTTCCCTCTCCATGGCGACTCAGTGAGCTCCCCTATGGCTCAGTGAAATGAGCAAAGCCTCCCAAGATGGGGGGTAGGTAGGGAGCTGCACAGCCCTCCCAGATCAATGCTGTTCCCAGGACATAACTGGCCCAGAGCTGGCCACCCACACCCCACTTCCCAGCAGGGTCCCTACATGGCCTAGCAGAGACCACATGCCTTAGTCTTTGTACCCAGAGCCAAACACCGTCCCGATTCTCAGTGCAGCAGGAACCATAGCCACACTCCAAGCAGAAGACTGTCTGACTGTCTTTTGGCCCAGATGTTGGAAATTTGCTTTTCACACAAAATCAAATTTGAAATTGGTAGTGTTTCTAACAAAGGGAAAAACTTAGCCAGAGTTTTACATATGGTTCTTGCTTCCCTGGGGAGAAAAACAGGGAAAGGAAGTCCCGCAATATGGGAAGGACGTTGTTACTTATAGAGGGAGCATCAACTTTGCTGTGGGATTTTCCTTGTTTCCTTATTTTTTAAAAAGTGGAAGCTATCATATTGCAAGGTTCTATGAATACAACCTTGACTAAACAAGTAGCGGGACCAGGGCCATCAGCATGTAAACACCAGGTCTCCATCCGCTCCACACACTGAGTTCCCCACAGGGGCACTTCCCGCAGTGCCATCCGTGACCTTTGGCCGCCAGTGCCTCTCAGGGCTGCAGGATCTTGCTGAGGTGAGCTCAACGTGGCTTCCCCCCATCTTGCTTTCCTTATAGCCGACTCTGGAGCAGCAGCAGACTCTGGAGCAGCAGCAGCTTGATCCAGAGAAGGGAGGAATGTGTAATGCAATATTAATCTGTGCCCCTCCGATTGTCCTTGGGGCCCCACAGGCTGCCTCAGCAGGAGAAATCCACCCAGTCATCTGTCTGAGAGGTGGAACAAAACCCCTTTGAAAGTGTATTTAAAATAATGTTTAAAGCAAAGGAACCAAAACCTAAAACGTTTTTTGTGTTTTATTAATATTTAAAGGGAAGTAGAAGAGAAAGTCCCACAGTGGAATCAGGATTAAGTGAATTTTTTAAAATCAATGCGCACACATGTACCTCGCACATTCTCTACCCCCCTCTCAAACACAGCACATCCCCCCCTTCTCTCTCCCTCTTCCTCCCTCTCTCTCTCTCTCTCTCTCTCTCTCTCTCTCACACACACACACACACACACACACACACACACACACAGGAGGTCTTCCCCAGCCATCTCCTGGATACATGGAGAAGGGGCTCTGTGGAAGGCTCTTGGTCATAATGATCACACTGCGGCCTCTGCGATCTGTGACTACAACAGCCAGGCTGATTTAATGCACAACATGCGTAAACAGCAAAACTAAACTAAAAGTATTTGCTTGTTCAAACTTCAATCAGTAAAACCTGGCAGGGAGGGGGAACAACTTATCAGAGTGCACAGGTCTAATGTAAGTGCAAGACTTAGAAATAACTTTCCTGGGGAAAGAACCATCGCCTCTCCCATAACAGATGCTCAGGCCATGGCCTTTTTTTTTGGGGGGGGGGGGGTGTCTTTTGCCTCATTTCTCATAACTAAGTTTATCTTTAATAACACATAGCCACAAAGTTTGTAAACAGAAATCAGCTAAATCATGCAGAGATCTGATGCTGCTTTGAAAACTTTTAATTTTTAAGAATAAAACAATAAAAATAGTGCATGTGTACTTATTGCCATCCAGAAGTACCAGTTGTTATTCGGGAGCTACCAGCCATAAGGTTTTAATGACCAGTAGTGCGGTCATCTCAGCCTGTCCCAACACACACACACACACACACACACACACACAGAGCTTTTCCACCTCCAGTGGCCATCCTGCCTCAGAGGAAGTCCTGTGGGGCTCCCTCTGAGTGGCTGTAGTGCTGGGGAGGAACAGATTCCTTCTCAAAGCAGAGCCTCTCACCAAAAAATGCCGAGGGAGAACCAGTTCCCTGGTCCCACACCTGACTGGACCTCTCACAGCCCCTCTCTCTGTTCAGCAGCTGGTCTTGGGAAGGTGACTACTTGGACAGAGGAAGGAGAGAGGAGGATGTACAAAAAGGCCCAGGCAAGGGGAAGCAGACAAGTGGAACAGCAGCCAAAGAGTAAACGGCTTCAAGAAGACACCCAGACTTTGGAGTTCAGCTGGGAGGATTATTTCCCCTTCCTCAGTAGGCTCCCCAGCCAGTCTTCCCATCTTCCCCCAGAAAGTATTCCCCCAAAGATCTCCATGTCCACCAACTAGCTGTCCCAGAAAGATGAGTGGACTCGGCCCAAGCAGAGCTGGCCACAGCCTCGCGGAGCAGGGCTGGGCTGGGCTAATCCCCCAGTGGCCCTCGGCGGGGGAAGGGAAGGAGGAAAATGCTATGGGCTGCAGGGGATGGCTCCACACAGAACACAAAGTGCTTTGTTTGCTCTAGGTAATTGCTCAGCTCTCAGGGTTGCACTTCCCAAAGGTTAACCCTGTGCAGACACCCAGGAAGCGGAGAGCAAGAGGTGCCCGGACTTCGCCACTGCAGGCAGGCTGCTGCCTTTCCAACCGGCCGGGACCCACGCCACCCAACCTCAAGTACATCAGACTGATCTTCTCCCTTCCTAGAATAAGTAAGTGCATTCAAAGTTCAGGGTGCCCCTTGCCCCATACCTACCCCCACCCTCACTCTGGGGGAACACGCCCTTCAGTGGGCATCCCTTTTTGGCATCACAAGAGGATGGGTGAGGTCAGCAAGCAGCCAGCCCCACACCCGAAAAGCCCTCCCGACACCCGCCCCTGTGCTCAGCACACCTGGGTATGGCTCCCCATCTCGGACTATCTCCACATCCTTAAATCTCAACTCTGCTTCCAAAGAATTCAGGGTTGAATTCACTCCTATAAAAGTCAGGCCATCAAGTTGGGGGTTTTGCTGGTTTGGTTTTGTTGCCTCTCCGAGATTTCCCCCCTCACCCCCCACTCAAGAACTGCCCTTTAAAGTGGCAGGGACTTCGAGGAACCTCGGGTGGTCCCTGAGACAGTTAAGAAAGTATCAGAAATCCCACTCCCCAAGGAGAGACGAACAATGAACTAATTACATTTTTATCTTTCTAATTACCTGAGGATTTGTGTAAATGAGAGAAGCAGGGGGTATGCAAGAATGAGAAAGAAGAGACTTTCCATCCCCTAACCCTCCCCAAACTGTTACCTGAAAGGGGTGGAGAAACAGAAATCCCCGGTTTCTAAACTTTCTTCCTCAGCCAGAACTGCAGCTTGCCCTCCTGGGCTGAATGACTAGTTAAGGGAAAAGTTGTTTGTTTGTTTGTTTGTTTGTTTAAACCCTCATGGAACCTCTGAAAATAAAGCTGCTCCTTAGCATGTTCCCGGCCTTTCTGGGCTTTCTACGGCATTGGGTTTTTCCCTCCTGGCGCATCCTGTCTGGGGTGTTAAGCGCTGCGATGGGGACTCGGTTCTCTCCCAGAGGAGAGACGGGCTCCCCTTTCATTTGGAGCTTTAGGCTTTGTTTCAGGTGTGGAAAGGAGAGACTGGACCCCAGGAGGAGCGGCTGCAGAAGCGGGACCCCGTGTAGGGAAGGGGGGAGGCTCAGCCGTCGCCGCCGGGCGAGCCCCAAGGTCCTTGCACCTGGATCGGGAGGGGCGCTAGGCAACACCTGGGACGGACTGCAAGCTGTGAAAAATCATTCTGCACAGCTTAAGAGCAGTCTCTAGGGAGCACGTCCGAACTCCGGGGTGGAGCGGCAGCCGCGGGGTCGGCCGTGGCAGGGGCTTTCCCGCAGCCTCCGCTGCAGCCGGGCCAATCCCGGGGTCCCCAGCCACCCCGGGCATCGGAGAAGGGAGGGCTTACCTTGAGGTTTGGAGGCTTCGGTGGCATTGGGTGGGGTCATGGCGATGCAGACGTCCCCCTCGGGGAACTTGTCACACTTGAGCATCTCGGGCCAGTAGAAGCCGAAGAACTGCATGACCGGCTCGCAGGAGTCCCGCACGGCCTCGCAGAGCCAGCGCACGGGAAGATGGGCCGGTCCAGGCAGACGGGCGCGAAGAGCGAGCAGAGGAAGACTTGGGTGCCGATGTGGCAGTTCTTGTTGAGCAGGGGCACCCAGCTGCTGGCCTGCTGTTTCACCTCGGCCATGGTCTCGTGCTCCAGCAGGTTGGGCAGCACCATCTTCTTGTAGCCCACGTTGTGGCACAGCCGCAAGTCCGCCGGGATGTCCACGCACTGCGGCGCCTTGGTGTAGAAGCGCCCGTTCTGGTACGAGCCGATGTCCGACTGGAAGCTCACGTAGTCGTACTCGCTGGCCGAACCCGCGGCCAGCAGCCCGGCCGCCAGCGCCAGCAGCACGCCCCCGGCGGCCCCGCGCCGGCCCCCCGCGCCGCGCCCGCTGCCCATGCTGGCTCCGCGCACTCGCTCCCGCGACGTCGGGGCTGCCTCGGCCGCCTTCCCCGCGCGCGTCCCGCCGCAAACTTTCAGGAGTCTCCCGGGCGACAAAAGGCGCCGTCCCCGCCCCGGCCCGGGCTCCCGGCGCGCCCCCTGCCCAGTTCCTGGCGGGTGGCGGCCCTCGGCCTGCTGCGGGGAGGGGAGCGCGCGGCCTGAGTGCTGCCCGGGCTCCCGGGAGCGCGGCACCTACTCCCGAGGCTGCAGGACTCGAGTGCCCGGTGCTCCCGTTGCAAAGCCCTCTGAGCCTCCCGCGCAGCCAATCAGCTCGGGGCTGCGGCGAGCCGCACTCATTTAGCACGTCAGTCACCCGCGCAATTAGCCAATCGCTTCACTTGCAACAGGGTTCGGTTTACTAGAACTAAACACAGGTCAACACCCCTTAAGACGCAAAATAAGAAATAAGTAAATAAAAGAAGGGAAACAAAGAGAGGAAAAAGGGAAAATAAAAGGACGGGGCAATAGAAGTGTAGGGTGCATGAAGAGAATGTTTAACGCTGTAATTAACTTGCGTCGGGTCGGAGAGAAGCGAGGAATTTAACTGAACTTGCAAATCCATGAGATAATGAAGACTTTTTTTTTTTTTACACCTTTTCCTCATTTCAAACAACAGCCTACCAGACAAGCAGCTCACCTCTTCGGTTTCGTTCTCTGTAGCTGCGATTCAAAGACGAGTAGTTTCCCGGACAAACCGGGGCTCAGGAAGGCAGAAGCCACGGAGGTCTGCTTTTAAGTCCCCAGCGGGCCCGGCTGGGCTCCCGCAAAGACCAGAGAAAGGTGCGTGGTGGGGGCTGTTTGCTGGTTTTAAAATGCAGGACTTTTCCGGGCAGGATAACCGGATGGTGGCCCTCCAACAACACCGGAGGCATTAAGTAAATGTTGTTCAGTGTGGTGGGAAATATTGTTTGCAAAGGTGTTAGCTTTGGGAGGGCAGTTAAAAAAAAAAAAAGGAAAAGAAAAAAAGAGAGAGAAAAAACTACTCAAGTCCCAGCCCGACAGCATGTCTGTGTGTGCAGGCATATCCACATTGACATGTTTGTGGTGTAGAAAGCCAAAACATTAAAAACACATGTGCACTTATCAGGGTGGCGTGTGTAAATATCAAATCCATCACTCAGGCACACATGCTACATTCAGAGTTGGCCCAGGAACGAACCTCAAGTCAAAACCAAGAGTTCCCATTACAGCAGACAGCAAGGGGAGAGTATTAGCAGAAACACAGCTGGGCCTTCTCACCTGGCCCCCCAGGAACAGAAGTCTCCTTGCCACCCTCCACCTCAGAGTTCTTGGGAATTCTTTGTATGTTTCAAACATTGGAAGAGTTGGGAGTGTGACTATGACTGACCCCAGGGACAGGAGACATCAGCAAGCAGTTTAGGAAGTTCTCGGGTCTGAACTGCGTGTGCCCTGATGTGTGGGTGAAAGGAGGCAACGGATGCCGAAAACCCTGCATCTGAGGGGCAAATGGGCCACAGATCCTATTGCTTAAGGCAGACACTATAGGAGGCGCTGCCTTGCCAGCCAGCTTGTTTGTAAGGCTCCAGGGAAGCTGGCTTTGGACTCTGCAGACCAAATTTTTGGATGGACAGATTCCAAGTAAAGCTACTTGAGTTTGTGAAGAAGCGAGACTATTTTCTTAAAGCACTCGTGCCCATATGGAGATTGTGATTCCACTGTGCATGCAAAACGCGTCTGCAGATTCCACTTCTCTTGTCATTTCTAGGCTAATGAAAGGTGCACCAAAGCCCAGAGTTGCAGATGGAGGGACAGAGATGGAGAGAGATAAAGCAATAGTTCGGATGGCAAAGGGTTAATCCCTAAACAATTGGTAGAGCTCAGCGGAGAAGCTGGGGAAGACATTCCTCACAGAGAACAGACTGCAGGAGACCAGGCAACTGTGTTTCAACTCAAGGGGCATTTAGAGAAAAATGCTGTTGGGTAGGGGGTCCTTCCCTCTCCTCCAGCCAGGCCCTCAGTCCCACGCCAAATGTGTCTGTTTACTCCCTCCTTGGAAAGAGTTGTGTGAGTAAATAACATCCTCTCACCTCTGCATCCAGGCTTGGCTGGCCTCTCCTGTTTGCAGTTTCCCCAAATGGTGAGGACTTGAGTCTGTCCACCATTACAATTCTGAAATCCATCCAGGTGACCGCACCTCCACCAGCCCTGGAGTCTCAGGTCAGGGGTAAATCTCACAAACCCACTCATGGGAGGCCCTAGCCTATGTCTGGTTGACCCCCATTGACTTTGATTGAAGTATGGTAGCAATCATCTCAGGTAGAAACTGTAGTTTAACTCTAACCCTGCTGTTTGGCTTAACAATAGAAAAGTTATTTTGATTTTCTGAATTATATAAATCATCCCATTCAATTGAATGCCTTATTGACTGTAATGTGAATGTCCCATTGATTGTGATCTTACTGGTTATCGAAGCACATTCTTCTGTACCTGGGAACCAGGACAGCGCAATTACTCTAAATTGCCTCGATGGCTCTAGATAATGTGTTCCTGGTAACTTGGTGGTCCCAAGACCCGAGGGCTCTAGATAATGTGTTCCTGTCAACTCAGTGATCTGGAGACCCAAAACTATAATTAACATGCTTAATTCTGCTTCTGTAAACTGCTTTTTTGCGAACCAGGTTCCTCATTCCAAACCCTGGGATGTAATCAATACCTTTGTGATTTTTGCCTATATAAATCTGGTGTTGCGGCTATCTTATCACTTCGAGATTTGGGAGAGCAAAATGCCCCCTCGGAGTCCCGGATTGCAATAAATGTGACTCTTTAATTCGACTTCTTGAGGTGTCCTTCTGTGATTCGCGGGGTACATTATAATATGATCACCCACAATCCCCAACTCCCCACCCCACGCCCACATGGTCTTACTGCCTTAGAAGCCTGGTAGGCCATGCTGGTGGCACAACTGTCTCAAGGACAAATAGGGGGTATGGGTGTAAATAAGACCCCAGAACCCTAAACCCAGTTTCTGGCTCCTTCCAAGGCCCCGCTAAAAAGGAAGGACTTGGTCTCAGTCCCACTGACAGACTTTATCCCACACCTGGACTTTTGCAGGATAACCACCAGTCAGTTCACATACTGTGCAAAGGCACCAGGCAGAAGGGCCTGAAAATTTTGTATTTTTAAAAAATATATTTTGATTGATTTCAGAGAGGAAGGGAGAAGGAGAGAGAGAGATAGAAACATCAATGATGAGAGAGAATCTTTGATCAGCTGCCTCCTGCACACCCCACACTTGGAATTGAGCCTACAACCTGGGCATATGCCCTGACTGGGAATCAAACTGTGACCTCCTGGGTCATAGGTCAAAGCTCAACCACTGAGCCACGTCGGCCAGGTGAAGATTTTGTATTTTAGCACTGCATAGAGTTTTGTGTGTTTTGTTGTTGGTGGTGGTGTGTTTTTTGTTGTTTTTTTTGGGGGGGGGTCCTTTTTCATATTGTCAAAACTTTGCACATCAAAGCCCAGTCTCCTTTTTTCTAATGGCAAAAATATGTGTGTATAGAGGAGAAAATTCTAGGGCAATGGTTCTTTAAACATGCTATTGATGTGACAGAGCGCCTAGAAACCAGGGTGCTTGAATATGAGAACAGGGGCAAAATACAACTTTCAACTTGTGTTTTTCATTGCAAAAAGGTTCTGATTTTCCCACACTGCCAGATGCCCGTATATGTGTGTTGCCTGTTGCTTCATAGCATCAGCTCAAGGAGGCATTCTTCATTCTCCCTGCCACCCAAAGCTGACTATCAGGCCAGGCAGGGTCACTGAAGGGCCTCCCAGGTGCCTACCTGGTGGCCTCTTCCCACCCACAGAGCTCCTTCCTGCCCTCTCCTAGAAAAACTAGGCGGGAAGGAGGAGCCTTTCCACCCTGCTCCTCTTAGTCTGTTCCATTATCATATCATCACTGGTTTTATGACACTCTCCAAGGATATACTCAGAATCCGCTCCATCAGGAGTTGTACAGAGAGGTCTCCTGCCTGTGGCTGGGTGGTGGTGGCTTTGGTGCAATGCAAATAAAAGCATCCTGGCCCAGGTCAGCAAATACGAAGTGTGGCCTCGGCTCTGCTTACAGGCTAGGTGACTCACACTTCATCCCTCTGGCCTTAGAGTTCTCATCTGTAAATTAGAGATGCAATGCCTGCCCTGCTACCTCATGTAATAAAATATGTGAATTATCAGTAGCTAGTGTCAGTGAGGCACATAGGCTTTTAGTAAACTGTGAAATGTTTAAAGTGATATTCCATATATGACATCATGAAGCACACGAATGTACTTGCTTGGACTAGCTTCTTTTCCATTCAGCCTCTGTGGAGGTGCAGATATCATGCCCGCCTTATTGATCCCGACCTCCCCTGACTCAAGAACTGTCCTGACCTGCTGTCTGGGGTTTGGGAATGTGTAGGACGATTCATAAAAATTCAAAGTTGATTTGGCACCCAGAGCACCTTCATTACAGCACTTGCCTCGACCTTTTATCACCGCTTGCTTTGGGGCATCTACTACATGACTGTGAGCTCCTGGAGAGCCAGCATCTTGTCTTCTTTGTCTCGTTTATCCCTGCATCCCAGCGTCTAGCATGGTGCTAGGCATACAGTGGGTGCTCAATAGGGCCCTCTACCCCTTCCCCCCAAAAATGCATAAACATGCAGTAGAGGGAGGAAACATGTAAAATATCCGGGCTAAGAGAGACACCACTAGAACATTGATTTTGCACTAGTTTCCTGAGAAGCAAGGCAATAAGTGAGCATGAAGCACTCACATAGTTCTCTTTGTCTGCAGGGAAGGAAAATCCCGCCTAGATCTGACTCCTAGGAGAGCTGATGATTGGAGCCCTTTACAAAGACGGCGTCTGAGACTTTTGTATTGGCTCTCCTCCCATCCCAGGGCCACCTGTGGGCAGATGCCACATCCAACTCCCTGTCTCCCCAGGGCCGGCACCAGTAGACTGCTCAGTGAAGAATGGGTTGCAGAATGTAGTGGCCAATTCCGAAAGGAGAACTTAACTTCCTAT